CAACATGATGAAACGCTGTCTCTACTAAAAATACAAAAATTAGCCAGGCGTGGTGGCAGGTGTCTGTAATCCCAGCTTGTTGGGAGGCTGAGGCAGGAGAATTGCTTGGACCCGGGAGCTGGAGGTTGCAGTGAGCTGAGATTACGCCATTGCATGCCAGCCTGAATGACAAGAGTGAAACTCCATCTCAAAAAAGAAAAATTAAGATTAGGCATTGGAATATTTTATTCCATTAGCCAGATGTGGTGATGCACACCTGTAGTCATAGCTACTCAGGAGGCTGAGGCAGGACGATGGCTTGAACCCAGAATTCGAGGTTACAGTGAGATATAATTGCACCTTTGCGTTCTGGCCGAGGTGGCAGAGTTAGACCCAGTCTCAAAAAAAAAAAAAAAAAAAAAAATTTGGCTGTGTTCAGAGGCTCACACCTGAAATCCCAGCACTTTGGGAGGCTGAGGCGGGTGGATCACGAGGTCAGGAGTTCAAGACCAGCCTGGTCAAGATGGTGAAACCCTGCCTCTACTAAAAACACAAAAATTAGCCAGGCGTGGTGGCAGGTGCCTATAATCCCACCTACTCGGAAGGCTGAGGCAGGAGACTCACTTGAAACCCTGGGGGGCAGAGGTTGCAGTGAGCAGAGATTGCACCACTGCCCTCCAACAGAGTGAGACTCTGTCTCAAAAAATGAAATAAAAATTAAAAAAAAAATGAATAAATTTATTCCATACTTGAAAGCAATGTTAAAAAATCCCTAAATCCAGTTCATACTAAGAGTAGAAGAGAGTAATAAGAAAATAAATAATAGACGGAGTCTATCTGTCAGAGTAAGGAGAAAAAAGATTAGAGAGGTAGGTGGGGTAGGGGCAAATTGTGTTGGGCCTTCTAAGTTTAATATCTGGGCTTTCGTTAATGAGCAATGAGGAACTGCTAGAGTGTTTTCAGTGGAGCAGTGAGGGGACGCAGAAGATTCTGACAGTGATGAACACAACAGATTACCACATGAAGTGAGTGAAGGCTGGGAGATCCATCTGCTGCTCCAAGTGCCCGGAGGGAGAGCCTGGGCCAGGGGAAGCAGTGATGGGCTCACCAAACTGATGGGAGGGAGGGTAGGAGAATGGATCTGGGGAGGGAGGGCCATCTGGGTGTGCAGGAGAGTGGAAGGGGACTCCAGGGTAACATTAAGATCTTGAGTCTGGACCACAGAAATAGAGAAGTTTGGAGAAGGAAATGGTTTGGGGAGGAAAATGATGCTTTGCACTTTAGACAATCTGAGTCACCACATGGGGCAGGCTTAATTGAACAGATAAACATTTCCCAGATTTCCCCATAAGTGAGTTCTGCTTTGTCTGTGGACCCTGGGAATTTCTATAGACCTCAGCCAGGGGCATAGCAGAGTTTGGAAAGAAGGAGTTCTTAGGAATAAAATAGAAAGAGTGGAAGTGACGTGACACATTTACCATATCCTGGATTTGAGGAAGGAAACTAGGCCTTCAGACTCTTGGTCTCAGATTTCCTTAAATGTAGCCTGAATAAGGCGTTGGGTTACATTTCAAAGCCTTTGTTACATTCCAGTATTTAAAACCAGAGGGGGAGAGTGTGGATTAATAAGTGGTATTTTGAAACCAACAAAGCATTTGAAAAATTAAAAAATAAAAAGGCAGCTGGGCACAGTGCCTCATACCTGTAATCCCAATGCTTTGGGAGGCCGAGGTGACAGGATTGCTTGAGCCCAGGAGTTTGAGACAACACAGCAAGACTGGCAACATAGCAAGCAAGACTCCATCTCTACAGAAAACAAAAAAACAGCTGGGCATGGTGGTACATGCCTGTGGTCCTAGCTACCCTTAGGCTGACGGGAGAATCGCTTGAGGCCAGGAGTTTAAGGCTGCAGTGAGCTATGATCACACCACTGCACTCTAGCCTAGATGACAGAGCAACACCGTGTCTCTAAAATAATAATTGTCATGCATTTTTTTTAAAGTAAAAGAAAAAGAAAGGTCACATCTTCCTCATACCAAAATAAATTCCAAATAAATTAAAGGCTTAAACATAATAAAGTTACTGGAAGAAAATAAAGGCAAAAATTTAGATAATCCTGGGGATAAATTTCTTTGGAATGAATTTCCTTAAGATGAATCTCTAAAACTGGAATTCAGGGTTCAAAGATCTCTGTCTTCTTTTCTTTTTCTTTCCTCTCTCTCTCTCTCTCTCTTCATTTCTTTTCTTTTCTTTTGTGAGACAGGGCATGAACATGGCTCACAGCAGCCTTGACCTCCCAGGCTCATGCAATCCTCCTGCCGCAGTCTGAGTAGTTGGGACCACAGGCCCCCATGCCCAGCTAACTTTTCTTATTTTTCATAGAGATGAGGTCTTAGTATGTTACCCAGGCTGGTCTTGAACTTTTGAGATCAAGTAATCCTTCCAAAGTGTTGGCATTACAGGTGTGAGCAACTGCACTCAGCCCAAAGATCTCTTCAATTGTCAGATTTTTGGTACTCTATTAGCAAATTGTCCTCCAAAAAGGTTATGTCTTTTTACCCTCCTGCCAGCATTATATAAGAGACCACTTTTGTAGCCTTTCACCAATACTGACTACTTTTGCTTTCAAAAATGTTTTTAGTAATTCTGTTAATTACTTTTACTTTTTTTTATTGAGGGTGTTCAACTTTTGTTAACTTTTAAGAGCTTTTTGTAAAATAATAAGGTAAACCCATAGACACAGATGAAACAAATATGTTTTATTTTCTATTTTGGTTTGTATTTCAATTAGTGAGCAGTATTCATATTGTAATTCCATTTTATAAAACAGAAAGGACTAGCCAGATATGTGCCACTGTGTCAATAGCAGTGATCATTTGGTGGTGGAATTACAGAAGATTTTGAGCATTTTGTTTGTGCTTTTCTTCATTTAAAAAAATTTCATTTTTTTTTGACAAGTTCAAGTATTCTTTATTCAAAGTTGAAAAATGTACCATACTGTATTATTGCAAAAATTCACTGGTACAAAACAGTTTGCAGCTGATGAGAAGGCAATAAAAAGTTGATTTTTAAACTCATTACTACAAATTATTCTTACAGTCCTTTGAAAATTTAAAATTTCAAACTGCATTTTCTTTTTCTAAATTGCCCACAGTACTCAAGGTTCCTGAGGCTAAGGCAGCGGTTTCAGAGAGGAGGGGGGAGGAGATAGCAGATGTCAAGGGATTTCCATTTCTCTTTTGATGCGGAAATACTTCAGGGCATCAGCCTGACTGTATCTGTAATCAAAAAACAGCTCTTCACCAGTCTGGATGGCTCTCTTGGCAAAAACACCTAGCCTGTGATCACCATTAACCATCAGAACTTTTGCATAGCAGTTTGGATTTACCGAATGATTTGCAAAACGAATTTTGTTACCCTTGCGGGTTGCATCCACCACAAAATCATTGTTCAAGTTGAACAGAAAGCTGCGCATGCATTTATCATACACTTTCCCTCTTCTGTCAGCTTCATCTTGAGAAATAATCTCTCCACAGTATTCTGAGATGAATTCATTTTTCTGCACAGGATCTTTGATAAAAATCCCCCAGCCTGCCACATCAGATGGTGCCAGCAATAAATGCTTTTTGGAGCCCCAATGAATACTGCAGTTCTTACAAGACACATTTTTACTGTCCCAATGGTCAGCAGCTCCACAAGTAAGACTGAGGTCAGGGTCACACTCTCAGACAGCCGATAGCATGGGCACTGCTTGATGTTGCACTGTGCTTTGCAGTGGCATCCCAGAAAGCGGTTTTGACACTCTGAACTACATTCAAAAAACTTTTCACAAAAATTTTGTGCTATCACACAAGGGCACGAACTGTCACAAGGCTGCCGTGGATGATCACAGGGTTGATAGTTGTAAACATGGTTAGAGGAGCCATCCTTTTTCAGCTGTATTTTTCTGCAGTGTGCAGCCCACAACCTGTTTTCCTTTTCTTTTTCCTTGGAGGAGTGTCCACATCCTCAGCGGGAGCTGGAGCTATGATGCTAGATTCTTTGACTCTAAATTCATACACCTGTCTACATGTTTTGGTCCCAATTAACCTAGCAATGGCACAGAAATTGTCATAGTAAGTGCCAGTGAGGACTCTAAACATTGAGGCTTCAGCACCACTCCACATTCTCAGGAGGCTCAATATTTGGCTTCATCTTTGTTGGTGTTTGACACCGAGAATTTGCTTCAGAGGAGCTCGAAATTTCATCTTTCTTCTCTTCTTCTTCTTTATCATTGTTCTCTCCCCCTGTTTCAGTCCCTGCTTCCCTATCACTGTCCGTATCATTTGATTCCAGCACATTAAAGGTGGGGGTGCTGGGCCTGCTACTGTAATCGGGAAGCTGTCCTCTTTTGCGGCCTCCTGAGCATTTTGGTGGAGTCTTTATCCACTCAGCAGTGAGAGCAGCAGCAAACTCTTTTGCTCCCTCCAAACGCTGGTAACGCTGTGGTCCACAAGGTTTGTTGTCTAGAGCTGTTTCTGTGTTCTTCTGCTTATAAGTGTTGGGTGTTGCATGAAAAGGATGTAGGAAGCAGTCATATTTAAAACATCGCCTACAGACAAGCCTATGAAAGGAGTGTAAGCTTTGCTCTCTCTGATCAGATTTAGCGTTTGGCCCATCTATGATGGGGGTACATTCAGGAGGAAGCGCGCCTGGGAGCTGCTGTTCCGTGAGTTCTTTATATTTTTCCTTTAGTTCTTCTGCTGTGCCCTTATCTGGAAACATTGACAAAATGGCTTCAAAATTTTTATCAGAAGGAAATTTCCGAGGTGGGTGACTTTCTTTATCATCTCGGTGATCTTCCAGATCTTTCTGCTTTTCTTCTCTATCTTCAGGATCATCTCCATTATCATCATCGTCATCATCATTATATTGACCAAGGGCATTCACCAACTCCACAAAAATTTTATCATTTATAAACCCACATTCTCTATCCCCAGTATTATAGTACTTTTCCATCATAATTTTTTATTAGTTCTTCAATGAAAGTACCATCCTGAAGGACAGCCATTTTGCCCACTTGTAAAAGAGCCACCTTTTCCCATGAGTTGGAGCCTAATGATCATCATGCCTAGGGTTCATAACATAATAAAGTCTCTTACATCTCAGATCTCTTGTTTGACAAGTGACTCTGATAAACTGCTGGATTTTTTGCCTGACAGACTAAGAGCAAAGCTGCTTCCATTCCAGAAAGATGGCATCATTTTTGCTCTCCAAAGAAATGGCAGGTGTATGGTGGCTGATGAAATGGGTCTAGGAAAGACAATCCAGGCAATTGCAGTTGCTTACTTCTATAAAGAGGAATGGCCTCTGTTAATAGTGGTCCCCTCATCTCTGAGGTACCCTTGGACAGAAGAAATTGAGAAATGGATCCCAGAGCTAAGTCCAGAAGAAATCAATGTTATTCAGAATAAAACTGATGTTAGGAGAATATCAACCAGTAAAGTGACAGTTCTGGGTTATGGTCTCTTAACCACGGATGCAGAGACTTTGATAGATGCACTGAATAATCAGAAGTTCAAAGTAGTTATAGTGGATGAATCACACTACATGAAATCCAGAAATGCAACTCGAAGCAAGATTTTATTGCCAGTAGTACAGAAAGCCAGACGAGCCATTCTTCTTACAGGAACACCAGCTTTAGGAAGGCCTGAAGAGCTTTTCATGCAGATTGAAGCTCTCTTTCCACAAAAATTTGGAAGTTGGACCGACTATGCAAAAAGATACTGTAATGCGCACATCAGATATTTTGGTAAAAGACCTCAGTGGGATTGTAGAGGGGCATCAAATCTTAAGGAACTTCACCAGCTATTAAGTGACATAATGATTAGAAGATTAAAGACTGAAGTTTTAACCCAGCTGCCCCCTAAAATCAGACAGCGTATTCCGTTTGATCTTCTATCAGCAGCAGCCAAGGAGTTGAATACCAGCTTTGAAGAGTGGAAAAAATTAATGAGAACGCCAAATTCAAGTGCCATGGAGATAGTCATGGGGTTGATAACTCGCATGTTTAAACAAACTGCTATTGCCAAGGCAGGTGCTGTAAAGGATTATATTAAGATGATGCTTCAGAATGATTCGCTTAAATTTCTGGTTTTTGCTCACCATTTAAGCATGCTCCAAGCTTGCACAGAAGCAGTCATCAAAAATAAGACTCGTTACATTAGGATAGATGGAAGTGTTTCATCTTCAGAAAGAATACATCTGGTTAATCAGCTTCAAAAGGATCCTGACACTCGTGTGGCTATCCTAAGCATTCAGGCTGCTGGCCAGGGATTAACATTTACTGCAGCAAGTCATGTTGTTTTTGCTGAGTTGTATTGGGACCCTGGACATATAAAACAAGCAGAAGACCGAGCTCACAGAATTGGCCAGTGCAGTTCTGTGAATATTCACTACCTTATTGCAAATGGAACTCTAGACACCCTTATGTGGGGAATGTTGAATCACAAGGCTCAAGTTACAGGGAGCACACTGAATGGTAGGAAGGAAAAAATTCAGGCTGAGGAAGATGATAAGGAAAAATGGGATTTCCTGCAGTTTGCTGAAGCTCGGACTCCAAATGACAGTTCTGAAGAGTTAAGGAAGGAAGCTTTGTTCAGTCATTTTGAAAAAGAAAAACAACATGATATTCGATCATTTCTTTTACCACAACCTAAAAAAAGACAGTTGATGACCTCCTGTTATAAATCAAAGAATTTCCAGGAGGAAAATACTATAGTGTCATCAGAACCTACAAAAATAGCTGCAAGAGATATCATCGATTATGAAAGTGATGTTGAACCTGAAACTAAAAGATTGAAATTGGTTACCACGGACGACCACTACAGTCCCTCAGAAGAAACACCATCTCAGTCCAGACAAATCAGAACTCCACTCATGGAAAGTGTCCAGGAGACCAAGGCCCAGTCAACCACCCCAACCTTTCCTGTAGAGGGCTGGCATTGTAGTTTCTGCACCTATATCAATAATTCAGTGTTACGTTATTGTGAAATGTGTGAGAATCCTCAAGGCAGTGCTGATCGCCTCAACCATATCCAGGATAAAAACAAAAATGAGAAGCACGATTCTCTGAAAGATACCTCTGAAGTTCAAACTATCTTAGACTGTGAAAAACAAGTCCTTGAACAGTCAGAACCTGACCAGTTGGCTGACAGCAGGGAAGAAACATTAAAAATTGAGAAAGAAGACAGACTTACACCCCAGCCAGGTAATGAACAGTTGAAGAGTTCAGACACTTTGCCAGTGTATGACACCTTAATGTTTTGTGCAAGTAGGAATACTGACCGGATTCACCTCTATACTAAGGATGGAAAACAGATGAGCTGTAATTTCATTCCTCCAGATATAAAATTAGACCTTTGGGAAGATTTACCAGCAAGCTTTCAGCTGAAACAAAATCGCTCTCTGATGATACATAACCAAAGAAGATGTTGCTATAGCTTCAGTGGACAAAGTGAGGAATGCTGGGGGCCATGTTCGTCTGATCACAAAGGAGTCCAGACCATGGGATCCTTTTACAAAAACTTTCTTGAAGATGGAGCCTGTGTCCCATTTCTAAGTCCAGACACAGTCCAGGCTGATCCCACTGGGAAGGCTTCTACATCCAAAGGCTATTTACAAGCTGTGGATAATGAAGGAAATCCACTTTGCCTTCACTGTCAGCAACCCACTTGCCAAACTAAGCAAGCGTGTAAAGCAAACGCTTGGGATTCATGGTTTTGCTCTCTGAAATGTCAGGAAGAGTTTTGGATTCGATCTAATAACAGTTACCTGCGAGCCAAAGTATTTGAAACTGAACATGGTGTGTATCAGCTCTGTAATGTGAATGCACAAGAACTCTTTTTACGTCTGAGGGATGCCCCTAAAAGTCAGAGGAAAAATCTTCTGGATGCTACCTGGACTTCAAAGCTCCCATTAGAACAGCTAAATGAAATGATAAGAAACCCAGGGGAAGGACATTTCTGGCAGGTGGATCACATCAAGCCAGTGTACAGGGGAGGAGGACAGTGTTCCCTGGACAACCTGCAGACTCTCTGCACAGTCTGTCATAAAGAGTGAACTGCCAGACAAGCTAAGGAAAGAAGCGAGGTGAGAAGACAATCTCTAGCATCAAAGCATGGATCAGACATCACATGATTTTTGGTAAAGAAGTAAAGTAGAAAAATATTTGAATGAATGACATATGGTTTACATGTGGAATAATTTAATACAAAATTTTTCCATGTTTAATACATTGAGAGTAAAAATTTTCAGAACAAAAATCAGGAATTCAAATTCTGTTGTACTAATTACTTTTAGTGTTAAATACATTTTGAAAGTATTTAACAGAAATTCAGATATGATACTAAACATTTCTGTGGTCTTTCTGATTTGATGCAGACTAGCAATTATGTTTCAGCAATGTTTTGTTAAGCTCTTTATCCCTAATATGCCTAATCACTGTATTGTGCATAGACTGTGTTTAAAAATGTACTCTCGATTACCTGAAAAATGCTTCTGGATTAGTATTGGTTTTGGACAGTCATAGGTATGAATGGAACATTGCAAAACTTTATGGGAAATTTCAGAGGCAAATCATTATTCAGGAGTTATGGGCCAAGCATGACCAGCCTTCTTAGGATTCAAGAGAGATTGTCCACTAAATACCTCCAGAATGACCTTGGGGTACACATTTTGGGTGTTTCCTTTCTTGCTTTATTTCTTAGCCAGTCATCTTTATCAAAAATATCCTTTTCAAAATGAGGTACCTAACACTAATGGTGTTTGTGGACAATTCGGAAGTTCTGTGTAAAGCAATTTTTAAAACTATTAAATAACTGAAACCATAAAATGTAAAATGCCACTTAAGCTTGATTTTTTTTTTTTTTTTTTTTTTTAGTATGTGTGCTGCCAAAGTGAGCACAAGTCTGGTTTCTTAGATCTTTTTTTTTAAAAAAATTAATAAAACTAGGCTTATTGTCAAAATATTCTTTATGTTCTGGTTCTCATATTCTCCTTTTAAAACCCTGTGTTATTAAAGGTATCTTTCTGGTACTTCTTTTAAAATGAGTGATGATGATAAAACACTTTATAGTAAGGCATAACCAGATGATTATATGCATTTAAAAGTACAATGATAATATTAAAATGTAATTGACATAAAAAAAAAAAAAAAAAGAAAGTACCATCCTGGTCTAACACTTCATCTCCCATATAAGGAACACTATGTAAAACAGTTTCATCTTCCACCATAAAATTCTGCTGTAGGGAAGACCAAGAATACATTATGGGTACTGAAGCAACTGCATTCAGAGTCTTTAATGGGATAACTTGTGTTGGAAAATCCAAGTCACTGGTCACCGAACAAGAAGTCAGGATGTGCACAGGCTGCATCCTTCGCTGTTTCCATTCTTGGTTTAAGATTTCCGTTCTTTCCAAAATTTTCTGACGATTGGAACTAAACATACTCTACTTCATCAGTTCGTCTGAACCTCTTGAGCTGTTTCAGTCGCATGTACTCTGATTTTACATGCTTCCGCCAACAAACTGGTCCCTTCTCAGATTTCTTCCCAGTCTGGCCGATGATTATTCTTCTTCCCGTGCGTCGCTCTCGCGCGCCGCTGCCGCCGCCGGGGCTCCACTGCCTTCTGTGTCCCACCGGGTGTCCGATGCGACCCAGACCGAGCGCCAAAATCCATTTTTAAAAAATTTCTGGCCGGGCGCGGTGGGATTATACCAGCACTTTGGGAGGCCTAGGCGGGTGGATCACGAGGTCAAGAGATCGAGACCATCCTGGTCAACAAGGTGAAACTCAGTCTCTACTAAAAATACAAAAATTAGCTGGGCATGGTGGTGTGTGCCTGTAGTCCCAGCTACTCGGGAGGCTGAGGCAAGAGAATTGCTTGAACCCAGAAGGCGGAGGTTGTGGTGAGCCGAGATCGTGCCATTGCACTCCAGTCTGGGTAACAACAGCGAAACTCCGTCTCAAAAAAAAAAAAAAAAAATCTACAACAAACATATATAATTTCTGGTGTCTTAAGAAAAACATAAAAAAATTAAAAACACTAAAAAATTTTAAAATATCTCCTTCAATTTGTAGGAAAGTTTTATAAGGAGATTTTCCTCTGGGCCTCAGTTCTTGGAAACATTCTCTCTGGGCTCCATTGGACTCCTTGGCAGCTTTTTGGGTAGTAGGTGCCTTTGGAAAAGTCCTTCTCATCTGGCCCTTTCCAAGCAAATCTAGTGAACAGAATTGGCTCTATGCTCAGCAATGCCTAATACCGTTGATCCAGGGCCTAGGACTCATTCCTTCATTACCAGCCACTTGCATTGTCTTAAAGCAAGTCTTTCTTAATTTAATTTGGCATTTCCTGTCCCAGCTTTTTAGTTTCTTTAAACAAAGTCTTTAGAAAACTCCCAGGAGATGCCTATAGTCGCTTCCTTTTAAAACATTTTGGATTTCTTTCCCTAGTCTAACCATTTCTTCAGGGCAGGAGTTAAGTCCCTTTTACTGCATTCCTATGAAGATGGTGATTCAAGAGGCACGGCACCTGTCGCTTTGTGAAGCAGTCCATTCTGCAGATGGACAGCTCTGTTACTAGAATGTTCTTTATTCTGGGGAGTCACTATTTTGATGTCCTCTGTGAGTCTCATCTGCTTATTCCATCTGTTTATGCCCTTGAAGATGCACGAGTCTGACACAATGAGGGAGCCCTTTGAAATCTGATGGCATCTCTTATGTGTCCCCGAGTCTTCACCAACTGCTCCTCCCAGAGCTTGTTTTTTAAGCCCCTTGTGAAGCTGATTGCTTTTCTCCAGGCAGCTCAGTTTTCCCCAGTTTGCCCCGGTGGTCCTGAAATATGACTGGCTCCTGAATACTCCAGGTGTGAAGGAGAGTGTGGGGTGGCCTTTCTACTTGTCATGGTCTGGGTTTTAAGTTGCTCTCCAATAGAGCAGAGGTGACTTTCCCAGTGAACCACATTTCCCCCGCTCTAAATCCTTAGCAATTTTGTCTCCAGAGGCAAGACCTGACCAAACCATTTGTGTTGATGATTGAATCAAGAATTACTGAGGAGATGACAGTAGTGCCCCCTCATCTGAGGAGGACCCGTTCCAAGCCCCTCAGTGAATGCCTGAAACTGTGGATAGTACCCAACCCTATATATCTATGATTTTCCTATACATTCCTATGATAATATTTAATTTATAAATTAGGCAAAGAGAAAATAATAATAATGAAATAGGACAATTATAACAATATACTGTAAATAAAAATTATCTGAATGTGGTCTCTTACTCAAAATTATCTCCTTTTTTTGAATAAGAGACCACATTCAGATAATTTTTTGAATTTATTGCCAAGGCTCTAGTGCAGTGGTTGGTGCAATCACAGCTCCCTGATGCCTCAACCTCCTGGAACCAAGTGATCCTCCCACTTCAGCCCTCTGAGTAGCTGGGACGATAGGCATGCACCACCGTGCCTGGTTAATTTTGTTTATCTTTTTGTAGAGAGAGGAGGTCTCACTATGTTGCCCAAGCTGGTTTTGAACATCTGGGCCTAAGCAAGCCTCCTGCCTTGGCTTCCAAAGTATTGGGATTACAAAAGTGAGCCACCATGCCTGGCCCAAAATTATCTTACTGTTCTATACCCACCCTTCTTCTTGTGATGATGTGAGTTGATCCAATTCCTCCTTGATGAGATAAAGTGAGGTGACTGATGTGGGCACTGTGATGTAGTGTTAGGCTGATATTGGCCTGACGATATGTCAGAAGGAGGGTCATCTGCTTTGGTGATCCTGGATCATAGAGTCACGATTGGACGTTAGGAGCAGACGATGTCAATGACTAATGATAAGCTGGACAGGCGGGATGGTGGCACACGTTTGATCACACTACTCAGATGGAGCGCAATTTAAAACTTATGAATTATTTTTGGAATTTTTCATTAATATTTTCGAACTGCAGTTGACTGTGGGTAACTGAAACCATGAAAAGTGAAACCGTGGAAAAGCTAGGGAGTACTGTATTGTGGAACTTTAACTCTATTCAGTAGGGGAACAGAATTCACAATTGTGGGCCCCTGAGAAGTCCTTGCATCTGTAGTGATCCAATTGTTTCATTTCTCATTGTAGCGAGAACTTGGCTTTGGAGTCAAAAAGACTGATGTTTTCTATCATTCTAAATGGGGGCAGCTACACTCTCCTCAAGAAGTAGTTCTGAAAATTTAACAAAATGTGAATTTTTCGATAAAAAAGAAATACTAAAAAATATTCAGTTTGTCTTCCTTTGTGTCTGATCTACTCCATAAAATACTTGGAAATATATTTCTCTCATAGAAATGTCACTGATCTTTGTAATTTTGATTATCCACAAACCGTGGCAAACTAGCTATTTCAGTGTTCCTATTTTACAGATAAGAAAATGGAGCCCATGGCAAGTTAAGTGAGTTACGCATGGCTGCTTAACTAATATTTTACTAGGTGATAGAGCAGAATCAGAGCCCGAGTCACCTCCTTATCAATGCCCCGCCTTGTCTCTGCACCTTCCTGCTTCTTTGTGTAGGTGCCTGTTGGCACATACACATACAACATTGCCAATAATAAATGGCATAGTTTAACCCAGTGGAACTTCCAGTTTGTAAAAAATTCCACTTACTGTAAATGATTGACCAATTAAGGAACTAGTATTTTCTCTATCCTTCACACTGTTTTGGATGCCAAAAAGGATACAAATGTAACTTGAGACTCTCTGGGCCTCATTTTATACCTGTTGGCATGTCCAAAATTAAAAAGACTGACCACACCAAGGACTGGTGAGGATGTGGAAGAACGGGAACTTTCATACACTGCCAGTGGGGATGTAAAATGGAACAATCCCTTTGGGAAACAGTTTGACAGTTTCTTAAAGAGTTAGACATCTATTTACCATGTGACTTAGCCCTTCCATGGCTAGGTCTTTACCCAAGAGAAATGAAAGCCTGTGCTTGTACAAATACCTATACCAGAATGTGCATAGCAACCTTATTTGTCATTGCTAAAAACTGAGAAAAGTCAACATTCAAGAGTGAATGGATATGGTCTATCCATGCAGTGGTATCCTACTCAGCAAGAAAAAGCAATGGGCCAAGGATACGCACAGCCATAAGCATGAATCTTGACATAATTGGGCCAAAAGAA